CCAATAATGCGTTATTTAAAATTTCCTTTTCGAAAGTGAGAAATATTCTGAGGTATTTCATAGAAAAATTATACAATCATTTATTAATAGTAGCACTTACTGTATTTCAATAAAGTCCTTCAGAACATGTGACATTCCAATATATTTACAAAAGTTTTGCGTATACGAKATATTTGTGAGAACTACTTTTTTACGGTATGACTTCCCAACRTCAAAATCCTATAAAAACAAAATGCTTAATGTCAATTGTTTTAAAAATTAAAATCATTTCATCTTGACTTCATTTCGCAGTCCCTTTACTTGTTCAAAGTTGTGCTTTGAAAACCAAACAAACTGCTGGATATAGATYTTTGAAGCTTTTACGTCATGTACACCGTATACACAATGCATTGTGGGGTATGTTTGGGACAAAACATGGTGGAGTTCTTTTGTTTTCTCTAGAAACTGATCCCACAATGCATTGAAAGTCAAGTAGTAACGTAAAAGGTTCAGAAGTCTATAGACCTAATCGGCTTCAACCCAATTCAAACCACCCGGAAGTAAGTTTCATTGTTCGTTGTATTGTTGAATTCTTAGAAACAAAAGTTCTTTATCCCACAGGATTTGAATTGGGTGGCAACGTACATAGCAACGCCGTTAGCCGATTAGGTCTATTCTGGTTGTAAGCAACTTACACTTTTGAGGGAGGGGAGGGGAGGGGAGGAGACCCACTACTGTCTGTTTTAATAAGCGAATTTCTAATAAAACAGTTGTAGATAAAAGTTATAAAAACAAACTAAGACACAATGGATAGGAGAGAAAAATTGTAACTGAGCTATTTTCTTTTTTTTTTTTAGATCAATGCCTTCGCCTGAGTGAAAGATCAATAATCTTGTTATACATGCATCCTTTTTATAAAGAACTCCATGTTTAACAATGTACTCATAGTCAAAACACAACTTGTAAACAAACCTTGAATATGATAACTTCTGGTTTACTGTAAAAGGCACAGCCCTGAAACATAACGAGAAAAAATAACTTACACTTATAGTGTGTCACTCCCAAATATCTGTAAATAATAATTTTTGTCTAGTTTTATTTATAATCATTTATATGTAATGTATATTAAAACAATTAAAAAATAATAAAAATAATAATCTTCTTCCTTTCACAAACCATAATAATTATAGATTCATACTTCCCTCAACAATACGTTTTTGAAATTACTAAAAATATCTACTGTTATTAGTCAAACTAACCTTGAATTCCCTCCCAGCAGCTACTTGTTTCTGAACTATTCCTGCTCTTTGCTTCATAAGAGATCTGTCCATAATTTCCTAGCATGATAGTAAGAATGCATTGTAATAAGTAAATGAATAAATCAACACCGTGGACCCCAYATTGCGACCGCCCGCTTAATACAGCCAATGTTATAACAGCCAYAATCTYAGATCCTGCTATCTGWCYATAAAGCCGCGGCTACACGAGCGATTTCTCACTTGCGCAGGCGACGCAATTTTCTTAAAATCATCARCGCACGATGTGTGGCTACACGAGCAACAATGCTGTATCGATAAAAAATCCATAAAGAGATATATGTACAAAAATAGTTCAAATTC